GTCGCCGCACGGCCTCGACCGTACTTCGTTCCACTCCTGCAGCAGGTTCTTGGTCTTCCACCTTCTAGAGGTCCTCCTCCTTCTTTAGAGGGTCCACAGCCTGTCTCGTCACAGCTACAGTTACAGCCTGCCTCCCTACTACCTGCTCCCTCTCCCTACACTGGTCCTACTGGAGGTCTTGCTGAGCGTCGTGAGCCTGCGTCTCGTCCTGCGTCGCCTGTTCGTGCTGCTCGCACTAGTGGTCGCGGTTCGCGTCAGCGTCCTCCTCCTGTCCCTGGCACGCACCAGATGTCTCTGCGTCCGTCCACTGCTCCTCTACGTGCCCCTTTGCCTTCTCCTCCTGCGTCCTCTCTTCCTACTCTTGCCGACCCGGAGTCGGACTCTCTTCGTGCTGCCAGTCCTACTGTCACGCGTCTCCTTGCTACTGTTGTCACTGACCCTTCGTTTGAGTCCACTGCTGCGTCTGCCCTAGTTGCTGAGCTAGTCGACTTTGCTGCTCGTTGTCGCCTAGACTACGCTGCTAGTCTTGTCGCTGAGTCTGAGTCTCTCTGTCCTCCGTCCGTCGGGGGTGAGTGTGCCCTTGGCACGGACGTCCTTGAGGACAGGCAGGAGGAGTTCCAGTGTCTGGCAGCTGCTTCACCTCATCTCGTGTCCGTACTGCTTACCCCTGAGGGAGACCCGGATGCACTTGACATCCCGACTCCGCGCTCTTACGCGGAGGCGATAGAGGGTCCCTACTCTTCTCAGTGGCAGGCAGCTATGGATGCAGAGATGGCTTCCTGGAAGTCCACAGGCACCTACGTTGACGCTGTTCCCCCTCCTGGGGCGAACATAGTCAGTGGCATGTGGATTTTCAGGGTGAAGCGGCCGCCGGGCTCTCCGCCTATCTTCAAGGCGCGTTACGTGGCTCGTGGCTTCAGTCAGCGGCAGGGAGTTGACTACTTTCAGACCTTCTCTCCCACCCCGAAGATGACCACTCCTCAGGTACTACCGCACGTTGCTGCTCACCGTAACTACGAGCTGCACTCTCTCGACTTCAGCACTGCTTTCTTGCAGGGCAGCCTGCACGAGAGGTGGCTGCGCCGCCCGCCTGGCTTCACTGGGTCGTTCCCTCCTGGTACCCAGTGGAGTCTCCGACGTCCAGTCTACGGTCTCCGCCAGACGCCCCGTGAGTGGCACGACACACTGAGGACTACGCTTGCAGATCTTGGGTTTGCTCCTTCTATTGCCGACCCGTCGCTGTTTCTGCGCACCGACACCTCTCTGCCGCCTTTCTACATCCTCGTGTACGTCGACGACTTGGTCTTTGCCACAGCTGAAACTGCTGGACTCGCCCACGTGAAGTCCGAGCTGCAGAAGAGACACACGTGCACAGACCTGGGTGAACTGCGCAGCTACCTTGGTTTGCAGATCACCCGGGACAGAGCACGCCGCACCATCACCCTGACTCAGTCACACATGGTGCAGCAGGTCCTTCAGCGCTTCGGCTTCACGTACTCCTCGCCTCAGGCCACTCCTCTACCTACTCGCCACTCACTCTCAGCTCTGCCTTCGGATGAGTCCGTAGAGTCGAGTGGCCCGTACCCAGAGCTTGTTGGCTGCCTCATGTACCTGATGACCTGCACACGATCTGACCTTGCATACCCTCTTAGCATTCTCGCACGCTATGTTGCTCCTGTGAGACACCGACAAGAGCACATGGCTGCAGCGAAGAGGGTGTTGCGCTACTTGTGCAGTACGTCGGGCATGGGGCTAGTGCTTGGAGGGCGGAGTCCAGTGGTCCTTACAGGTCACGCAGACGCTTCATGGGCTGACGACCAGGCTATGCAGCGGTCGTCACAGGGTTACACCTTCAGCCTTGGTTCCGGCTCTGTTTCGTGGCGGGCTACTCGCTCGTCTTCTGTTCTCGGCTCCAGTTGTGAGGCTGAGATCTACGCCGGGGCCATGGCTGCACAGGAGCTTCGCTGGCTCACCTACATACTGACCGACCTTGGAGAGCCGCCTCGTTCTCCTCCAGTTCTGTACGTAGACAACAAGGCCATGCTGGCCTTGTGTCGAGAGCAGCGACTAGAGCACAGAACGAAGCACATTGCTCTCCGCTTTTTCCTTGCTCGTGAGCTACAGCAGCGTGGACAGTTGCGGCTTGCGTACGTGGCCTCTGAGGCCAACACTGCTGATGTTTTCACCAAGGCACTTGCGTCTTGTGATCATCAGCGCTTCTGCACTCAGCTGGGTCTTGTCACTGTCTTGCCTCACTTGCTCACCTCTTGATCTTGCTTGTATTGTTACATATATGTATACCTACTCTTGCTTGTCTAGCCTTATATATATATGTACTCCTGCATGTGAACTGGCCTTGTGGCCTTGAACTTGTGCTCGGAATGTGTGGTGACTTTGTGATCCACCCTGAGCTTGCTTTGCTTTCCTTTGCTTGACTGGTCTTGTGACCCCCTGTTCTCCCCCACTTTACCTACAGGGGTGTGTCAGGACATATATAGCTTATACTTTTGTGTGGGCTATAGTGGGGTATCCCATAGGGGGTACAACCCAATTAGGGTTAGTACTTGTACCCAGTTCATTCATAGTTCATCCATCCTCGTTTGCAATTCCACATGTCGGGCGAGCTCAGCGAGAGGCTCAATCGTGGCCGTGCGTGCTTACGAGAGAGCACTACGAGCGGCGGTGCTGTGTCGCTGAGAGACGTCTACCCCCCCCCCCCCCCCCCCCCCCCCAAAAAAAAAAATTGAGATAGTGGGGAAGCGAAGGTGTGGGCGCGGTCCGAAAAGAGATCGTAGGCTATGAATACCAAGTGTTACTAGTGCAATTGAGTGAACGAACGAGAATTGCACTATCGAAACAAGAGTAAAATGAGCGAAGGTATGAGCGAAGAATATATAGCGAAACTACAGTGGTAACGGTAATGGACTGTGGTTGTCGCGAGACGGGCCTGGGACTGAGGTTGGGAAAAGTGTCGAAGCGGAGGCCCGGAGCGCGGGTTACCCGCCGAGCCGTGAGGTCGGGGTGCGATGTGCGAAGGTGGCGGGCGGATTGTCGATGCGAGGATTGCGAGTGGTAACGGTGTTGACTGTGGCGCTATAGTGATGTACGCGTTGAGTAGGGACGCGAAGGAAAAAGAGGTTTTCCTTACAATACTGTGCAATGGCGACCATGGATCTCTCTGTACATACAGTAGCCCAAGTTCGCGCGTTTGATGAATGCTGCACTTGTACAGTCCATCATCGAAAAGCTCGCATGTCGCACTATGGTTCGGCATGGCGGTTCCAGTCGCTTCCCCACCCTTACATCAATACCAACTTGTCCGCCGCAGTTGTCCTCACCTAACTCACCTAGCGAACGTAAACCACTGCTTCGCAACGCTGCCGAAGCAGCACGATACGCTCTCGAGGTTTCCTCTTGCCGCGGCAAAGAGTGCGCTGCGGTATAGCGGCGCAGCGCAGCCCTACGGCATCCCCACACACTATGCAAGATGTGCACCACTATGCTGTACAGTACATTTGTGTGGTGAACATCTACCCCGAACAGAATGCTAGTGCACCTGGAATCATAATTCTCCTTTTAAGTGGCAGGGAAAAGACCGTTCGAACGTGAAAATATCGCGCAAATAATGAGCGGCAACAGCTAAGCACAACACACACTCATCAAACTCCAGCAGAAAACCACCATTCGGTTGACTTTGAGCGGAGTGATTTGGAGAGACACTTTGAGAGGGTATTTCGTTCAGAAAGAGGCGCAAGCACGATAGAAAGACACTGTTTACAACTTGCGGTCGAAACGATATCACATACTGGTTGATCCCAGGGATCAGGAGCATTTCCATTGTTTAAAAAATGTCAAAGGTGTAGTTCTGGGAGTCGTTGTGGCCCTGACACCCTAAGTGACTCGTAGATCTGATTTCCGTTTGGACTGAAATCTGCAGAGTCTCTACAGTGGAGAACATTAAGTAAATTTTCATTTTTGGGTCGTGCTCTCTTACCACTATCTCTGCCACACCAACCCCGTACTTGAAAGCGCATCTTACTTCCGTGCTGTTTATTCTGTATTTATTTCAAATAGTGCAAGAAAAATACTGTTGGAGCACACGCCAGCCTGTGTTGCCAGGGTGTTCTAGAATCCCAGCTGGGGCAGATGAATCAAAGGTAGGCAGAGCAAAGAGCCGAGCCACAGTTCGGTTCGGCGCGGTTCGGTTCGCTTCGAACCGAACATCCGCCATTTTTTTTCAAGATGTTCACCACGGGCCGAACCGGTTTGTCATCGAGCCGGTTCGGCGGTTCGACCGGCTCGATTTTTTGCTTTCAACTAGGGGCACGGAGATGCGGTGAGGGGTTACGAAAGTCTAAAAAGGATGAAAATGGCAGTTTCGGTTCGGTTCGGTTCGGTATTCCTGCTAGATTACCGAACCTCGAACCGGCTTGAGAACCAGAACGGTTCGAAATGAACCGGTTCGTTTCGAGCACGAACCGGTTCGGTGAATGCGCTATAATGGCCGAACCGGTTCGGTCCGGACTTTGCTCATGCCAGGCACATCAGGTAGCTTTGGTGCTGAGCCACGGCACAAGAACACGGTGTACAGATAGACAAAACAACACAAAAGGGGCTCTTGCATTGTGAGCAGTGGGAGCCGCAGGGGACGCCGTTTCGGGACCAAACCGTCCCATACCACACATAACCACATTTTTGCCCGGTACGGATGCAGGGAAGCCCCGGGCCTCCATTTCCCGTAAAAGGGCGCTCATTCATAGTACATGATCCATCCATCCATCCCACATCGCACCACACACTCAGCACAGTGTTGTGTCATCCCCAGACTCCTTGTGTGCTTTTAGCAAGAACACAGCTGCCAGCGTTTTCCTAACTCCTCCCTGTCACCCGTAAGTCCGTGAGAGTAGATTTGGCTGCTTTCCCTCAGTTTGTTTACGTGCCTTCTGAATCTCGCAATCTCACGTGCTCTCCATGTCGTGCCAGACCATCACCATATGAAGATGGCGGCACCACAAGCGTCGCATCGAGTCAAGCCCTTCCGCCACGACGCCGCCATCGCCATCCTCGTACTGCTCGTCGTCGCCGTCGGCCAATGCGACGCGTTGGTTCAAGGTGAGCAGTCGCATTCAGTTCTCGTCGGGGACCCGGCGGACTTCCACTGAAAAGACCCCTCGGAATGATCCTTTCAAGGCTTTCCCTGCGGCGGCGATAACGTGCGGAAAATCACCGCTCGACTTCCCAATCGGAGAACTTTTTTTCGCGCAACGCGGCCTTCTCCAGCCGCGTATCCTGCCGCGCGTTCTTTCTTGCTAATACATGTCAGGAATCCTTCCAAGAAAACGCCTCGTAAGCCTCCTCATCAAGCGCCGCTTCGTTTCTGTCTCTCTACTGTCCATCCCGCGCTCTTTCTATCAGCGCCGCGTCAAGGCAACCTCAAGCACTACAGCGTGCGTCTCCACTCCTCCCTTCCGCTCGCCGCTTATAGCCGGGGTTTCTCGATCTACCCGGGGTGGACGGATGACGACCAGGCCGGTAGCGGCCCCGTGCCGGCCTCCCTGATGGCCACGCCGACCACGCTGGCGGCGGAGGCGCGGACCATGATCGGGCGCGGAATCCCCCGGCGCGCGCGGCTGACGATGGAGAACCCGCAGATCCGCACACACGCGAATCTGCTGGAGTATCAGCAGAACCAGATCGCCGCGTCTGTGGGGCTTTCCGCAGAGGAAATCACGTACAGGTGAGAGAGGCCTGTCATGAGACCATCATTACGACAATGGCTTGCGGCGCCCATGTCACCCGCCAAATCCGTTATCAAAGTTGATAACATTGATAACATAAACTCTAAACCCTGACGGTTCCATCGCGAAAAAGGACTTGCTTGAAAGCTGCGGGAAAGTTGCAAAAAAGATACTTTTTGGATACCTTGGTTTTGCAACTTTCCAGTTATGGTCAAATGTTGCAGAAATCGTGGTTGCGGGAAAGTTGCGAAAAAGTTGCATTCCTGCAACTTTCCCGCAACACAACCGCAACTTATCGGACAATCTTTGGACACGTTGCGTATACATTTCAGTCACATGTATGCAGTTTCACCACCTGCCACGTGGCATGCGTACAGTTTCGACTTCGAAGTGTACGTAAGCCGGTACGTTCGCGAAGATATTTTGCCACGTAAACAAAGATATTGTGCCAGGTGTCAGTCTCGATATGTGATCGGAAGCTTGCCATGTGGGCCAATCAGACATTAGCTTGTCGTGTGTGAAAATTGATTTCTACTGGTCGCCGATTAGCCTGAACAGTACAAGCGGGTCATTTCCTTACAACAGCTTTATGTTATTGGTTTAGTCTGAGAGTTACAGTTTGGTGAAGATCTATAATATGTTTCACATTTGCATACATACTCATTAAGTATACACCTCGCGCGAACACTATGTAAAAATGTATACACCTAACACCAAGCACTTGTACATAGCTTCACGTCTTGTGTGGAGGGTACATGCTACGAAAAAATGCTTCTTTATAACGCCTGCAAACAGTACACACATAACGTTAGAGCTTGGTGAGTCATATGCGCGTTCCCCACCTCAGTGACTTACCACCTGCGGGGCTTCACCGCTACTTGTAACATTGCTTGAACGTGCTGGGTAGCTTCTGCATATTGATGAGACAGCTGGAAATAGAAGTTCACGTCGCGTGACTTCCATTAACCCTGCACATGAAAATCAATCCTGAAACACTATGACCACCAGAACAACAGACACATAAACGTTATCGTTAAAGGCTGGATTCCAGACAGCATGGGATAAGAAGGCGCATGGTGAGAAGCTCAAACAGAGGCAGAGAGAGGCCTGCGTGCGAGTAAACACCCTCCGCGTTCTCGCGCTGACGACGGCGCGTCCCCTATGATTCGCGGGCCGAAGGTCCTAAGCTAGGACCTTCGGTCCTAAGCAGTGAACATGCCGACGAGCAGTGTTGGGAGGCTGGGGGAAAAAAGAAGCGCAACTGATTAGTGTGAAGAGGGAATGGGAGGACTGGCAGGGGGGGGAAATAATGCACAGGTCACAAGCGACGGCAAAAGATCTGCACACATATTGGGAAGGTACGTGCAAGGCGATTGCTCGCGAAGAATAACCCATGAGCATAGATGAACGGTTGGAAACACATATCAGAGTTGCAACCTAAGGCACACGCACGGATAAATGATTGCTAGGTCTTGAGCCATAGAAAGCATGTGTAGCACACCTTTCGGCGCTTTGAGCGCGGAACTCGGCGATTCCGTTACTAGTCGCTGGTGCCACGTTCTCCGCGTGAGGAAAACGCTGATGTTTAAACTGTAAAAGGGAAGGTGAGGATTCGGAGGGGCAGAAGGGTAAAGACATAGATCCGAGTAAGGAGTAGTAAGAAGATACAATAAAAAATACGATGGGCTATCGTCTTCGGGTGCACACTTAGAGGCAGGAGATGTATGCGAGAAATGAAGAACCTCAACCAGTTGTGTGAGAATGAGGCAAGTGACAGGTGCTTGAACGGGATAGAGTCAAGTGCAGTGTGAGGGTAAGAAAGACAGATGCTTCTGGAACTCGAAGGTGTGCTGATGTGTCGTCAAAAATTGCCGTGGATTTCTGAGGTAGGCAAGTGCACACCATTGATTGGTTAGTTAAAAATCATTACGATGGACCACTTCGTTACCGGTTAGCTAAACCCTGGTCAGGGGAAGCCACCTCACGTACAGTGAATCTGAACTCTTAGCATGGATTGGGTGTGACTTTGAACCTGTGTGCCAGTTGCTTGTTTCGAGTGTTGGTTGCACCTTGGCGAGATTCGTCCTGTTACGTATCATCGTTACTGTTCTCGCAAATCTCGTGAAAGCGTTCATCGATCGGATACCAGCAGTATCACACCATGGGGGACTCCCAAGGGTCGGTCGTGACCAGGTGTACAGTTCGGTCTGGATGTTTCGAAGTTGATGCAAGAAATGCCCGATTCGAGTATCCCATGAAGCCCAAAATCGCGCCTCGATTACCCCACGTACCCAAAATTCGCGGCTCGGTTACCCCTTGCCTCCGAAATTTGTGTGAGTTGCAAAATCCAGTCAATGCTTTTCGGATACTTTCCCGATACAAATCAGCAACTTTCCTGCAGGTTTCAGACTTTAACTCGATTTTGGGCCAAACCCTTTTCCGCGATGTCTCCACTCCGCGGCTCTTCCCCCGTTCCCCCCCTCCGCGCCCCGTCGCCCCCGCTCGTCCCCGCCAGCTTCAAGTACGCGCTGCACGGGTTCGCGGCGCTGCTGACGCCCCTCCAGGCATGGAAGCTGCGGCGGCACTCGGCCGTGGCGTCGGTGCGGGAAAGCTACGAAGTGCGGCACCTCACGACCGACTCGCCCACGTTCCTGAACATGGGCGGCGATGGGTCGCTGTGGACCAACAACGGCGGGCAGAGCAGCGCGGGTGACGGCATGGTCGTCGCGATCGTCGACACGGGCATCTGGCCAGAGCACCCGTCGTTCAGCGACTCGGTGAGATGATAATCTTGACGCAGATTGCGCACTCTGACTTTCGAAAGAATGTCCTGCTTCGCGGAAAAGGTTTTTGGGCATAAGAAGGTTTTCGGATACCTTGCTGCTAAAAACTTGCGAATACGTTGCGGAAGGTATCCGAAAAGCACCCACCTGAAAATCGCAAGTTACCCCCACTTCGGATACAAGGGGTAACCAAGCCGCGCAATTCGGATTCAAGGGGTATCGAGCAGCGCATTTCTAGCTTCGATTTCGAAACACCCAATCACAACCATCCCCACTTCACAAATTTGGTTTCCGCGCCTTGGGAAACGAAGCGCATGCGCACAATCTGTGCTATTGATGGGAAATCCGCGGCTCGACAAATGAACAGTACAACTTCCGATGCTTTTGACCTTGACTGAAAAATTGCGGAACGGGCTACCACCATAACTGGAAAGTCACTTTTCTGCAAGTTTCCAGCAGCCTTCCCGCAATACCTTTTCCGCGATGCGCTGCGCCCTGAATAATTGTTGGGCTATTATGCGCGGGAGGAGAGGCAGGAATAGGCGGAACTGATTTTTACCCGCTAATTTTGGGTACAGAAACAAGTATTGCCATCGGATGAATGCTGAAACGCGTGGCCTGGGAGTGCCACAACTGGCCCCTCCATTGGCCCACACCTGCGGTTGACTCGAGTCAATCTGCTCCGCCCTTCATTCCACCCCAACAGGGTTTCAGTTCCACAATGCCAGCGGGATGGACGGGCAAGTGCGACACGACAGCGGACTTCAAGTGCAACAACAAGATCATCGGCGCGCGTGCCATCTACGCCGGCGCCAAGAAAGACAAAGGCAGCGACCCCGACCTCACTGCTGATTGGCTCTCGCCTCGCGACGCGGGAAGCCACGGCACCTGGTGTGCCGGGTGCGTGCTCTTGACTCTTCACTCCCGCCGCCTGCTGCGCTGCGCTGCTTGCTCCCCGCCACGCTCGTGGTTCTCCCATGCCTCCCTTCATCCTGCCTCGCACTCCTCGATTCAAGCTCATGTTTATCCCGCCCCATCCCACTGCTCGCGCCTTGTGCTGTGTCTCAGAGCTGCGGCCGGCAACAAGGATGTGGCTATGGCGTGCGGCAAGGCGAGCGGCATGGCGCCTGCTGCCAGGCTGGCGATCTACAAGGTGTCCTGGACGTATAACGGCTCCAACACTGCCAACTCTGATGACATCTTGGCAGCCGTAGATCAAGCGGTGGCGGACGGCGTGGATGTGATCTCGCTCTCGCTGGGTGCTTCTATGAGGGTGCCTCGTACTTTGATGAGATTCCTCTGCTCAATGCGAACCTCGCGGGGGTGTTTGTGACGTATGCTGCGGGCAACTCTGGTCCTCCCAACGGCACAACCTTCGACTCGTACAGAACCCTTGCCAACTTCTCACCTTTCTACCTAACTGTCGGAGCAAGGTGAGCAGCAGCAACCGCGCGAAAGAATAACCAAAGCAGTTTCCTGAGCTGGTGGGCCCCAATTCTGCATTACATACCTTGCTGCATTACATACCTTGCTGCATTACATACCTTGCTGCATTACATACCTTGCTGCATTACATACCTTGCTGCATTACATACCTTGCTGCATTTCTCGCTGATTCACTGCACTGATTCCTGGCCCTACGGCTCATTTGCACATGATTTGCTCTTGGTTTGTCCTTGCACTGATTCCTCTCAATGCCTTTGTCCTTGGTCCTGCAGCTCCATCGAGCGTAACGGTGCTGTCCTTCCCAAGGCTATCAACGAATCATCAGCTGCCATGCTGTCTGCATACCCTCTGGGCGATGCTGCCCCCCGGATCGGAAGCTTCTCCTCCACAGGCCCCGTCTGCCCCCCCTGGATGAATGCCGTCAACGCACAACCCACCAACAGCATCTTAAAGCCCGATATAGTCGGCCCTGGGGTGAAACTGTACGCTGCATCCCCAGGAAAGACCGTCGGCTAGACAGGGTCATACTCTCAGAAATCTGGTACTTCCATGGCAACGCCTCACCTGGCGGGCATCGCCGCTCTCATTCTGCAGAAGTACCCCAAGTGGAGCCCTGCGCAGGTCATGTCTGCCATCATGACCACTGCAGTCACGACCAACACCGATGATAAGAACATCAAGAATTCCAACGGCGACTCTGCAACGCCGTGGGAGATGGGTCAGGGGCATGTGTACCCGCCCAAGGTGCTCGACCCTGGGCTCACTTACGACGCGCGCGCAGCCTATTACATGAACTTCCTCGCGGGGCAGAGCCTTTCAAGGACAGAGACAGAGTTCCCAGATGCAAAGCTTGTGCGCATGCCTCCTCGGAACCTGAACCGTGCTAGCATCGCTGTGGCGCGGCTCAAAGGGAATCTGACCGTGACCCGGCGGGTGACTAATGTTGCAGACAAGAAGTCCACGTACAAGGTCAAGATCAAGTCTCCCAAAGGGGTGTCTGTTAAGGTTTCTCCCAAGAAGTTCACCATTGGTGCGGGTAAGAAGGTGTGGTACACAGTGACTCTCAAGGTTATGAAAACGTCAGAGGAGTTCAAGTATGGGAGCCTCTCATGGAAGGATGGGGATGGGCACTCGGTGCGGACTGTGCTTGCTGTCCAGCCAGTTGCAATGTGAGTGTAGCATTGCCTTATTATTTAGCGCAGGTTGGAGGGAATTCTTTGTAGCTGATCGTTTTAGCTGGGGTATGAGATGATTACATAGCTTGGCAATAAAAGCTGTTCTGCAATCTGCCTATTTAGTAGAATATACTGTTCATCATACTGTCATTTAGCTATCTCTGGAACGCCAACCAACTATCTCTGATTCGCCAACTAAAAGCATCCTGTTGAAAGTGGTACATTTACGTAAGCACACTTTGTACCGTTATTCTCTACAACGATTTTCAACATACAAGGTAGGTAAATTAGATTTTGTATTGGAGGAAGCATGTCAAAAGCGTGGGTGCGAGTGGTTTGATAGAGCAAGTGAAAGGAGAGCTGTTGAAGGCACAGAGATTAAGCCACATGTTTGCAGTTGGCAAGGGAACAGTAGCACACTTACACATCGGCTGTGGTCAGCCACATTTTCTTCTCACTCTCTAGTTATACAGGGTATACGCACAGGAGTAAAACCTTGCTTCCCTGGTAAATTACCCAGGGGGCTACAACACATAAATTATTAGACCATTCAAAGATGCTCGATAGAAGCACTTCAACAATGCAACATACATCACAAGTCAAACAAACATCACAGGGTTAGGTTCAAGTCAAAATCATGTCCACTACCTGGAGTCAAAGTTTCCAGGTGAACACCAGTTTCCACCTGGTTGCTACCAGCATCTGCATGCCCTGCATGCTCTGCTGCTGGTCTGCTGACTCCACTTGAGTTAACTACTGCATGGCTTTCCAAGGGCTGCGACAAGCACGAGGGGCACAGAGTGATGCTGTCAGATGGTCTGCTGCTATCTCCCGTGGCTCTCTCCGTGTGCATTAAATCTCGAGGCACGTGCAAATCACGATGCATGTCCATAGCACGCCATGTGTCATGGTCACTGCGTTCCCTTATGCTTTCTCGTCCTGAGTTGGACAGGGGGGGGCTTGAAACCGTTGCCCCGCCTCTGGTGCTAGCAGCTACCCCTGATGCACTGCGGCCTGCTGAGCTCTGCATGCATTGGGATGTGGGAGAGGGGGTAAGGGAAGGAGGAGGAAGAGGATGTGCTTGTTGTTGATACAGGCTATGAAGGGACGAAAGGAGAGGAATTAGCCTTGTGAGAACCCAGTGAGGGTTAACTACTGACAAAAAGGGACAACGTAGGATCTAGTGGCAGTTGCAAGTAGAATCTAGACGAGCGGGGAAGTCGAGCAACAGTGGAAACTGCAGAAGGAATATGACACAGCTTTTAGAGCAGCAGAAGGGCAGCAGCCTGGCAGCAGAAAATGTGGGCACCCCCTTATGCTGCCAACACACATCCATTGCCTCACTCCTGCCCTCCTGTAAGACTCCACCCACATTCGCTGCCAACAGCACTCCCCTCCTCGCCGCAATAACCCCACCAAGGACCGCACTATCCAGCAGTATTTTTTGTCGTATTACCTGCAAGAGCAGCTGCTGTATGTGCTCGTTCTCCCGCTCCAGCTGCTCACACCTCCGCCTCAACTGCTCACAGTCATCCTCTGCCTGGCGTAGCCGGTGCCTGGTCCACACATGCACATGCACACATGCACAAGCATGCACATGCACACACATGCACATGCACACACATGCACACACATGCACACACATGCACATGCACCCACATGCACATGCACACACATGCACACATGCACACACATGCACACACTTGCACAAGCACACACATGCACAAGCATGAAGACAGATAAGCACGTACATACACACACTCGCACATGTTCACACCCGCGCAGACATGCGCACACATGAATACGTGCACACATGCACACGTATGCACACACACGCACACATGATCACATACATAAACACACATGCACACTTGATCACATGCATACACACACATGAACACACACACCCATCCACACATGGCAACATCCATTCGCGCACATGTGCACGGACAGACAAATCCAAACATTCATGCATGCATAAGTGCACACATGTGCACATGCAATACAAGTTGGATACACAGGGAGAACAGCAGGGTAGACATGTGCATATGGACGAGGCTAGTGAAACTTGCCTCGTCTGGTGAAGGACGAGCCTAGTTTTGAGGCGCCTCAAAACTGGTGAAGGACGAGCCCAACTCGTTCGAGCTAAACATGCTTGACGAATGCAGCAAAGAATGATTCGGAGACTGAAATGTTGTCATTCGTTTGAACCCACACCCTCCCTCCCAATGACGCAACGAGTTCCTCTGTGACTTGCCGAGCCCGAAATAAATCTGCGCGCCACTAAAATGCATGCGCAAATCAGCTAGCTTGCGACGAGTTTCTCTGACTCGGCGAGTTTTACTCGGCTTGCCTCGGCCGAGTTTATTAGCTCGAGGTGAGCACTTGTCACTCAGACGCAGAGGAGCCTTGGGATGGGATGAGTTGAGATATAAAACTCGGCACATACGCAGTCTCCAGCAGGGATAAGGTAGAGGATAGGGAAGTAGGAAAGAGTACTGCAGGATCAGTGTCACGGCTGCATTTATACAAGCGCATGCTACACACACGCACATGCACCAAGGAAATCTCCAAGGAGGATATTGCTGATGCTTCCGGGTGCTCAGGCCCAGTGGATGTGGCAGACAGGCGGTGTCATGCCCACACACTGGACGCACACCAGAGAGAGACCAAGGAGGTAAATCTGTGGCTTCAAAGCAGCGGTGACTGCCGCTACATGAAGGAGGCAGCAATGCATGAGTCAAGACGAGAGTATTCATTACGCACAAATCCCCACAGACGGGCCTCATTCTAGGTCAAGTCACAGTAGAAAGATAGGGAGCGTGACTGGTATTAATTCATTCCGCATGTCGCTTCCGCTTACCTCCACAAATAGTGCACAGCACTCGCTTCCCCCCTTCTCTCACCTATCCCCCTCTCCCTCATCTCCACTCATCTCTCCTATTTACTCTCCTCCCCCTCACCTGTTCTCCTCTCCCTCACCTACCCTCCTCCTCACCTCCTCTCCTATCCCTAACATACCCTCCTCTCCCTTTTCTCTTCTCTACTCTCTCATTTACTGTCCTCTCCCTCACCTCCTCTCCTTCCTCCCACCTACACTCCTCTCCTCAAATCCCCTATTCTATCTCTCACACCTCCTCTAATTTCTCCCATCTACTCCTCTCTTTCCTCACCTCACCTCCTCACCTCCTCACCACCTCTCCTCCCCTCCCCGCTCTCTCTCACCTATTCCTGTCTCCCTCACATCCTCTCCTCTCTCTTATGTACTCTCCTCTCCCTAACCTCCTCTCCTCCCTCTTACCTATTCTCCTCTCTCTCACAATCTCTCCTCCCGTCATTCAGTTGGATCTCCTCTCCCTCGCCTCCTTCCTTGCTCTCACGTAGTCTCTCCTCTCTCGCCTCCTCTCTTCACTCACCTCCACTCCTCTCTCACCTCCTCTTCTCTCTCGCACCTGTTCCACTCTCTCACTAAATCCCCAGTTACCGAGTTTTCTTCTCACCGTGCACGTCGGTTCTGGAACCACACCTCCACCTGCCGTGGCTGCAGCTGCAGCTCCCTTGCAAATGCAGCCTTCTCTGCCTGTCACGGGCGAACGGACAGAGGAAAGGAATGCAATGAAACCCCATGTGGTATTGCAGCACATGCACACATACACGTTTAGACCAACGCACTCTGCGAGGAACGGAGAGAAAAGCTCTGCGCTTTCAGGATATTCACACTGACACCGTCGCTAATGCTCGCACTAGTAGCTCACTTCAATCACTTGCTACGTTGGCAAGAAAAATTGCACGCACACACACACACACACACACACACACACACACACACACACACACACACACACACACACACACACGCACGCACGCACGCACGCACGAAAGCACGCACGAAAGCACGCACGAAAGCACGCACGAAAGCACGCACGCACGCGCGCGCGCACGCACGTACGCACACACACACACACACACACACACACACACACACACACACACACACACACACACACACACACACACACACATGCACGCACGCACGCATGCACGAAAGCACGCACGCACGCACGCACACACACACACACACACACACACACACACACACACACACACACACACACACACACACATACACACATGCACACACTGCAAAGGTACCAGAGAGAGATATAATTTGGAACGCTTGAGGATACACGAACGGAAGCAGCACGCACGAGGAGGAAGAGCAGGGAGGGGCGTACAGCGTTGGGAGAGGACACGAGGGCAAACTTCTCCTCCAGTTGCAGCGACTGCTCTTTCGTCAACCGCAGCCGCTTCCGAGGCACTGAACCCTCGTCCCTCAGGTCGCCCTCTCCATTTGCACCTGATGCTGCTGTGCCATCCGCATCTGACCCTCCTTCCCCTCCCTCCCCCACCTCCTCTCCTTCCCCTCCTTCCCTTCTTTCCTCTCCTTCCCCTCCTTCCCCGCCTTCCCCCCTTTCCCTGCCTTCCCCTCCTTCCCCATCTTCCCATCCTTCCACTTCCTTCCCTCTGTCCCCCTTTTTTCTTCCCTCCTCACCGTCCCTAATAGAAGCCTCCCTCAGACCATCTCTCCCCAAAATACCTGCAGTCCCCATTCCCCTTGCTGCAACGCCGGTCAATTCCTCAGCCGCTGCAGTGGACAGCCAGTCCACACGAGGCCCGGCACCCCCGCCCTGTCTAAGCTGGCACTCCCTCACTTCAGCTCGCACCTGTGGCCGTCGATGCCGCTGCAGCCATTCCCCTCGCTGCTGTGCAGGCTTGTGAGAGCGATGCTCGCATGGCCGATCGTGAGCATGTGGATTGTGCAGTGGCGGAGGGTGCTCATTAAGACGATTCTCATGGGGATGGTGCCCAGGAGGACGATGCTGTTGCTGCTGTTGCTGCTGCTGCTTCTGGTGGTGGAGGTGGTCCTGCTGTTGCTGCTGCTGCTGCTGCTGCTGCTGCTGCTGCTGCTGCTGCTGCTGCTGCTGCTGCTGCTGCTGCTGCTGCTGCTGCTGCTGCTGCTGCTGCTGCTGCTGCTGCTGCTGCTGCTGCTGCTGCTGCTGCTGCTGCTGCTCAGCCAGAGATCCTTCCGACCTGCCATAGGCCCCAGACTGTCCCATGCTTCTCTGGAGAGCAGAGCGTGCAATGTTGAAGTTAAAAAAGCCTTTCCCTTCCTCTGCACCTGCATCTAAAGCATCATGCTGTCTTGCCGTACCATGCCCAGAATTACTGTCACCACCCTGCTCCCTGGGATATTCCGGCTGCTCATATGCTTCTTGTTGCTGCTGCTGACGGTGATCATGCTGGTGCTGTCCGGATCCCTGGCTCTGCTGCTTTGATCGGTCTAGCCTCCGCTGAGGCATGACCACTTCACCCGAGGTGAGAGGCAGGCGAGACAAGAAGCATGCAGAGACCTTCACCCTGAAGCTGGCTTTAAGGTGCAAACAGATCCGTGCACCAGCTTCCACCCCAGGAATTAGCATTATCAGTGAGCCACTACTAGTAGTTCTACTAGTACTACACGGAGTGGGCGTAGTAGTAGTAACGAAGTGCAAGATGATGATGCGACCATGTACCAGCGGCTGACCATGATGGACCTGCAACTCAATGGCATCAGGGTTCAAGAGAGCGGGGGGGGGGGGGGGGGGGGGAAATAAGCGTCAAGTGGAACAAAGGCTCGTTGTCTATGATTAATATCATGTCATGAACTTCCGTGCGGCGCCTTGTATGATTCCTCCATTCTTCCCATCCTCTTCTCTCCCTCCAAGCTTCAAAAGTCTCCCTCTATCATGATCCCTCCTTTGCTACCAACCCATCACTCCTTTCTGTTCCTCCCTGGTAACCTCCCTGTGAAGCTTATCGCACTCCCCACCAGCTCCCCCACACTTTCCCCCCTACCTTACTAACGTCAGACAGCTGACTATTGTTCCCACCCTGTCTGACTTACTAACAAAGTTGTTATACAAAAGTTCTTTTTTTCACTTTTTTTTTCTAGCATACCATGCCTCCCGATTTGACAAAAACGTTAAAAAAAAAAAAAAAAAAAAAAAAAAAACCCACGCAAACGAGTCCCTACTCGATATGGGAGGCGATCGAAGGCATTGAATGCTGCTCCTGCTTTGTTCTCCAACCTGTAACGTGCTGTTACTGTTGAGGAACTTGCAACCGTTCGAACGGCGTCACTAGTAACGGGACCCGAGCTCGAACCACGACTCTAGAGCCATGTGGTTCAGTTGAGATCAGAGCAACTTTCTCAGTACCTGAGACTTGAGACTGCTGAACACAGTTCCTAAGGCTTGGGTATGGCAGGGGATGCCTTTTCAGTTCAGACAGTCGTTCCAAAGCGTTGAGGAGGGGTTGGGGGAGGGGATCAAACCGGCTGGCCAATGCTTGTGTGGTTCATGTCCCACGGACTTGGATTGTCGAGCTTTGCCAAGATCTCAAAAAGGCCGCGCAAATCTTCTGAGACAGCCGCGCTGGCACAAGGAGTCAGTTCCACGAACAGCACTGGGCAGGTTTGCAGACGATGAAAAAATACTGCTAAGTACGATTTGTACAAGATACACTGTCCGCAATGTACCCGAGGGTAGCGTGGGGCAGCAAGGAAAGGACTGGTGAATTTGAACATGAACAGAGTTGACCAGAGCTTGTCTTCCCCCAGCCAACATAAGAATTGAATAACACTGCCCAACAAAACTGGATGTTTGGGCGGAAGGTGGTGTCGCATCCATGCCACACTCACGCTTGCCACCTTTGAGCTTCACGCAATTGCGCCCCATTGAGTCTAAAACATTGAGAGGACATGCATGCAACAGACGGAAGAAAATTGTGTCGCATCGCAAACCAAGGCGAGTCTCAATTCAAGGTGTATATTCGTCGATGCTGAACAGCTTTCCCTATCAATGCCCATTCTTCTCTTGTTCTTGTCTCCTTCAGACCGTGCGCAGTTAGGCTATTTATGAAATAATTGCGCGACGCGACGTGTTTCAAATTTTACTCGATCCTGTGGACTACCCTCGCACCGCGCTACCCGTCTTTTTTATATCTCTCAATCCCATGCACCGCACATGCGCTTTCAAGATATGTATATACTTCAGGAAAGAGTGTTGAGATGGTTTTGTGGGAAGTTACATTATCAGAACATGCATGGTTTAAACTATACTCTTTGTATTTGTTTTCCTTTTTGGATTCTTAGGTTAAATAGTGCTGCCTATATTGCCATCTAGTCAAGTGCGTGAGTGAATAGATGCCGTTAAGATGGGTCCACGTGTAAAATTACTAAATCGATTTTGTCTAATTTTTCGGTGCGCAATGATTGTTCCGTACACTTGTCACTGCAATATGCAAGCAGCCCTGAAACTAAAACTCATGGCTTACGGCATGCCATTTGGGAGCCTCAATCCTAAAATTTTAGAGCGTTTGTGATTTGTTTTGGAGTTCGTAAAATTCGTCGTGGACCAGTTTCGCCAATATCGCTAAAATGTTTCGTCAATGTGGACTTCATTCTGGAAACTACCAAATGTGAACATACAAGAATGAACACGAGTCGAGATCTTACCCAAACGTGGATTTGCATGATGAACCGAACGTGGGTGATTTCAGGCACGTACGAGAAGCAGCGACGTGTCAGAATGTTATTCTCTAGCCTGTGGTGGGGTGCTCTATAGCGAGTACAACCCATCTAGGGTTTGCTATATGTATCCTCATTGCTGCTAGTGAAAAGCCTCTCTTTTTGCCTAAACTGTTTCTTGCCTAGCTAAGACTCTCCTAGCTATGGCTCCTGATCCTAACTCCACACTATCTTCACATGGAATCAGAGCACATACGCTCATGGCCTGTGGGCCCTCCTACTGCTTCCGCTGCCCTACGCTGTGTCGCGCGCCCCGTGGTGCGCGGCCTTTTATTTTTCATCCCGCCGCGCGCCCCGAGCGCGCGGCGGTTTTCTGCCCGCCGTGCGCCCCGAGGCGCGCGGCGGTTTACTGCTATGGGGGAGCCAGCGCGCGCCCCGCTCGTCCGTCGCGGAGCCCTAGGGAGCACGCGCGGCCCCCCACCCTGCCCGCCGCGTCGCGCTGGGGAGCCCGCGAGCCCCCCGTCCGTCCGTCGCGACGCCCTCGGGAGCCCGCGAGCTCCCCGCCCGTCGGTCGCAACGCACTGGGGAGCCAGCGGGCGCCCTGCGTGGTCGTCGCGACGTCCTAAGGAGGCCGTGCGCGCCCCGTTAGCTCGTCGCGGCGCCCTCGGGAGGCCGCGCGCGCCCCGCCAGGCCGTCGCCGCGCCCTGGGGAGCCGCGCGCGCGTCCCTCCTGCCCGTCCGTCGCGGCACCCAGGGGAGCAGCGCGCGCCACGCCCCTTCCCTCGCCCCACCCGTCCGTTCTGGCGCCCTAGAGGCGCGCGCCTTCCCCCTCCTCTCCGTACCACGCGGTCCTGCTCCTATCCCACCCGTTTTAGGGTTTGGGGGTGAGGAGTGGGGGGGTGGTGGTTGTGGGGGTGTCCGTTGTGCGCGCCGTGCCCTTCTCCTCCTCCTTTGTCTCCCACTGCTGCAGCTGTCGCTGAGGGGGGTGGATGAGTGGGAGACTGGGGTTTAGGGTTTTAGGGGGGTGCGTGGGAGTGGAGCTAGGGTTTGAGCAGTGGGTGTGTGTCGAGGGTGTGGGGCAGTTGGAGGAGATTGTGTGGAGGTACCTGTCGTGTCGCCTGCAGCGCCTGTAGTCCGTCGCCCTTGCTTCGGTAGCCAGTGAGCCTGCTGCACTAGTCGCCAGTGGGTCCGTTGCTCCTGCCGCTCTTCTATAGCTGCCGAGCCAGTTACTCCAGTAGTCCGTCACCCTTGCTTCGGTAGCCTCTGAGTCAGCCGCTCCTATGCCCGTGCCTCTGCAGCTTCAGTCGTTGCCTCCCATCTTCTCTCCCTCCACAGCTCCTCCTCCTCCTCACTTGCCCGTTGTGATTAGCGCTAGCTTTGCTTACCTTGGTGAACTCCTGCTCTATACCTTCTTGCTCATTGTACTGATTACACCCCACTTTGGCTATGGGGGTGTGTCAGAATGTTATTCTCTAGCCTGTAGTGGGGTGCTCTATAACGAGTACAACCCATCTAGGGTTTGCTATATGTATCCTTATTGCTGCTAGTGAAAAGCCGTCTCTTTTTTCCTAAACTGTTTCTTGTCTAGCTAGGACTCTCCTGGCTATGGCTCCTGATCCTAACTCCACACTATCTTCACACGACGCTCACAAATTTTTCGTTGACCTTTCACGATGTCAAAAGGAAATCACTAGGTAATCTACGCACTCTATACGCGGCTCGGTCCACCCCCTATAATCTCGAACCTCCAAATTTGCACTTGCGTAAGTGATGGTGAGCCAAGCACCTTTGACACACACGGGCGCTATTCTGTAGATGTTATTGCCTCCGCATTAAATGTACGGAACTTGTCCTTGTAGCTTCTAGCCGCTCCAAACGCCTAATCTCCCAATTTGCTAGGGGATGAAGCTCGCTCAAACTCTTGAATCTCACAAATGGCTGCCCTGCATAACTTGTGCGCTGGCTGATGCTAGCTCTCGAGGCCGAATTGGTAGCGCACAAGTTATGCGCACATTTGCCCAGAGATGCAACACCATGGAACCTC